ACCACTCGATTTCGAGTACCGTATATCCAAGTGATGGATATACGGTACTCGTCGGTCTCGTCCTCGCACTTCAGTGAATTAGTGCAAAGCTAGAGAAGCGCTTGCCCCAAAGAGGTCAAATTGCACACGCCCGCAGCCCTCCGCAGACTGAAATGTAGACAAAAAAATCACGAGAACAAAGCGTATACCGGGAAATTATCCGGCTGTGCCGTAATGCTTTCGCTGTTGTATCCTCTTGCTCGATAGTCGATACAGTCATTAGTTTCTCTGGCTCATTATTAGGACAGCGACCTCGTCAAGTTTATTGAATGAGATATAAAATTAGCCATTAGTTGGCATCAGCAATTTTGTATTTTTAAGAAAATTTGTGTATAAGGAATTTCAGTATAAAACACCATTTGAATCTTTCACACATCCACCGATACTGCATTCTGGGCTTTTGTCTTCTATCTGTACAGTATAATGGAGTACCCAATTCCTGCAGCCACGTCCTACAGGGATTCTAAGGGCTTGCTGGTGACCTTTCAGTATTGCATCATTGCGGAGAAAATTGCCAGCGAAACACTCGCGGTCTGCCGTTGGTACTCTGAAAATACAAAAATGTACACGGCAAAATTTACTGTGGAGAAGCAAGGAGATTATCCGGAAATCCCGGCATCCAAGTGGGCACTGATACTGATGGTTAGCCAGGAGCAGGGCATTCACACGGCTTGGCTGGAGTGCCAAAATGCTTACGATGAACCCTACGGCCCCTCTGGTGAGGTCACATCAGGTAACAGCCTCAAAATTTTGCCCCAAAATTGTGAGACTGCCGGCAGGATGGTCTCAGGTTGTTGTTGTTTGAAGTTATAAAGGAGATCTTATATCTTGTCAAGCAGCAACATCTATTCGAGTTCTGGGTACGCTTTTTGCGTAGAATAATTTTATTGTGCTGTTGCTTATGCTGTAGCAGTTGTAAAGTTACTAATGATAACAATGTAGGTAGAGTTTTGGGTGTCCACATTCTGTCAAACACAAGATATTTTTGCGTGGCTTTTTATGAACTCTTGTTTTAAAATTTAATTTTACTATGTTCTTACAAATTTAAACATCTCGTGCGTGCTGCGGGCTACCTGTACGTCGTCAAACTGTCCTACCGCCTCTCCCGTCCGGCCATAGAACGTCGTCTATTGCCGCGTCCCGACAGTTTCTCCGACTGCACTTTGGTCTCCAACGACGGACGCCGATTTCCGGTGCAGCGTGTCATGATGGCGCATCAGTCGCCCGTCTTCTTGGCCATGTTCCAGGGCTCGCGCTCCGCTGAACGGGGAGCTGTACTTCGTGGATGTGAGCGGCGACATCCTGGAGGCGATGGTGACGTATGTGTACACTCGGGAGATTGCGGAGGGGAAGCAGCGCAAGGAACTGCAGGAGCTGTGGCGCGTGGCCGGCAAGTATAACCTCGTGGACATGAAGCAGGCCTGTGTGGACCGTTTGTTTGACGGTTTAAAAGATCGCGACTTGTGGGGATCATATAAATTCGGTCGGGATAATGGACTGCATGAACTGAAGGAAAAAGCGGAGATTGTTTACTTCGAAAGCAAAGTTAAACCAGTTCCGCCGAAAAAGCGGTGTTTTATTCCTTTGGATATCGCGGTAAATATTGTGTTGGTCGACCCTGAAACCCTAGAAGTATTCAAGGTGGATTAAGTAGCTGGGAATTGATCATCCAACCTTTTTGCTCGCCGCTGGTTACTCTGACAGCTTTGTTGAATAGTTGACAGCAGTAGTGGTATGTGTTTGGCTCTTGGGTTTAAAATGAAGTTGCTAGATGTTACGTGGAAATCACAGATACTGTGGCTGAAAATCATTAATTATTTTTACTTCTTAACTGTGTGTTGCGTATACTTTAACAACTAACAAAACCAGTTTTACAGATGCTATACGTTATTGATTATTCGTGGAGAATACAGCGAAATGTCGTTTTTAGATGGCTCGAATTCTAGGTTTTCATTCTGATTTACGGAGTACTTACTGATTAAATTTTTCCTTAACTAGCTGCGCGGTTGATAGATGAAGTGTGGGATTGGGTCAGCTCACGGTTTTAAAGTGTGTGGTCAAATCACGAAATGTGTTAATTACAACAAGGAGCGGATACATGTCAACGGATGATAATGAGGAATTTAATGTCTTCGTGCTTTTTCTTTTGTTTGGTCCATGTTCAATTATTCTGCTAATCTGGCGGCGCTAAACAATACGCACCACTTGCTGTGCAACGGAAAATTGATCAAACTGGATTTTGTTAGAACTGTTGAACAAACTGAATTTTCCAAAGTGATATGGTTATTTCCATTGCGTGTTATCAGGTACGACATAGCATTGTCGCACGATCAGCGGGTTTTGTTATCAATAAGCGAGACACTAGTGGCGCCGTTCACGAAGACAAAGACAATCCGTCATGCAGCTACCAGCTACTGTTTTCTAAAACGACTTACACAGTACCCAAGGATATGATATGATAACGGTTCGATTGTTCACCGTACTTAATGTTTCGATAAACGCTGCCGTGGTTGTTCACACCCTATTGTGCGTGTTCTCGGCACAACACAATAAGGTCACGCAGTCAGGGTGACCGTTTTCGTATTTAAACGTGCCCGACGTTCGGCTATCCACTTCAGTCTTTGAGTGAAGACGTTTTGTAATTAGCCAGCCGTCTTGTTAAGCACTTCATACCTACTTATAATGTTTCTCCTAGTCGTCTTCCTGTTAGCAGCAGGAACCACAGCTTCCGCTGTGCCAAATGGGTCATTGTTCCAGCATCCGGTTGCCAGAAAACCAGTTGCCACGTTCCACGATCTGGAAGCAGCAATGCCTGTCCAACACGGAACAGCCAGTCTTGCAGGATCACGAGACGGAAAATCATTTGTCTGTGCGAGATTGTGGAGTGAACCCAACTACACCGGGGGCTGGTATGAGTTCCTGAAAGGCGCCAATATAAATTTTGATGCTGGTGGCAGCGATGTGATGTCGTCAGCATGGGTGCAATATGGATGCTCGCTGCAACTGTTCTCCTTGAACAGTTTCCAGGGTACTAGCTGGACCTTTACATCGTCTGCACCAGACCGTGGCTACTTTACATTTCCCGGTAATGCATGGGATAACAACAGTCGTTCTGGAAAGTGCACTTGCGCGTACTGAAATACCGTGCTTGCATTTAGTGGAATGTAGCTGCTCATCCTGTGAAATATTTTAATTTTCTTTAAATATTTCTCTTGACTGGATGTTTTTCTGGTTCAGTTCGCCACTGTGCACTTCTTATTTGCTGGGGCAGAGTACGCTTTTGCTCAGGGCAAATCAAATCTAATAATTAAATTTAATTTTTAAAAAATTTAATTCGGTGTGAAAGCACTTTTTTTGTCTTGGCGCATTTCTCGGCAGAGTTTGCAAAGTGAAGTAGTTTTGGTGGCTCACCGGCATTTCGTCGACTAATACTTCGTCATAGAGGCGGCAAACCGTACGGTGCGGTCAAACCGTACATAACCGCATAGGAAACGACTACGGTAAATCGGTGAGATCATTCTTTATTGTCTTAGTTGTTAGCAACTAATTTAAACATCACACACGAAAAACATTATAACACAAAGTAAATAGCATTTAAACCATCAGAACGTGGAACAGTGGACGTCACAGACAGCGCACTCCCGCGCTGTATTTAAATGCTAAGACGTTGCATCGTAAGAACCAAAAAACCGAATAGATCTAAGAAAACTAAGACAGTTTAGCATAACGGTTGGTCGACTTTGTGACGGGTCGTCATCAAGGGCGTTCGATAAGGTTTTGGTCGACAAAATGGCGGGTCACCACTTTAGGTGTACTAAGTTGTAGTAGGTAATTCGCCAATTGGTAAATCACTTTCCCAACAAAATATCACTTTCGATCAAAGCAGAATCATTTGCCGACAAAGCCAAAGCTTGCGATTAATACAGAGCAAGCTTGCTACCATCGGAGTTTTCCTAACGAAGCTTTTTAGTGGCAGCTTCACCTTGCGCGTTGGCGACTCTGTTCTTATGGTAACAGACTACGGGGCACCGGAAAGTTCCAGACATTTTTCGCGTACACTACTTGTATCTTCGCATGCATGCGTGAGGGTACTCAGCGTAGCCGGTATTCTTCCCTCAAGCTGCACTTGTCGTCGTCGGGAAATCGTGGCATAACCAGCAAAAGAGTCTGTCAGCGACTGGTTCTGGATTTCATATCTGTTCACTGAGCTCATAATTTTTTGAGAAGTACAGCATAACAGACACAAGGTTTCAGGAGTCTACAGGTAACTAGAGTAGAAATACGGTAAAATCGTGTTATCGCTTATCGAGCTGTTTACTGTGTACATAAATCTATTTAGTACGTTTAGCAAACGGCAACGCCTTGCGTTATCATGATCTAAATAAAAAATCCTTTACATGATCTAAATAATTATGTTTATTTGGAAAACAGTCAGTTAACATAACAGCATGTCAGCGCTGCGAAGCTCGACAGAATTGCGTCCATAATTGCGAAGACAGAAGCGCTCCATATTTTGCGCCCATTTTGCTATCAGGCGGGTAACTTCCGGACCCAATGGTTCAGAATTTCGAACCTAGAGGGCACCAAAAGGAGTTTCGGGTGATGATCCCGAACCCCCAGTTCCGTTATACAGCAACTATTAGTCGTATCCTATTTAATTTACGCTAGCTCACTAACGGTTCATGAAAGCTGTTGAATACAACGATGTCGGCGCCGGTTTATATAAATGGTGTCGTTTTTGTACTGTAATGTCGAGATTAATTGGTCAAATCAAAGCCACAATACACCAATTTGAAGAAGAAAAAAATTCGTTAATTAAATGATAATTTTGATGATAACGTTGCTATATTATTATGTTTCTCATGCAGTCACGCTGAAGTACTGAGGTTTCTTTTCACCGTGATATGCTAAAAGTGATTGCTCTATTATGAGCTCTGTGTAGTATCTAATTAAAGCACAGCTAGTTTACTTTTGTGCGAAGCATGTGGTAGTAATATACCCAAGGGGGATATTTATAGAGCCGGTGAGTACGTGACGGCAGTGATAATTATGTCGGTACAAATATTATTGCTCATGTACTTGCTAAAACTTATAGTGCAACATTCAATCCGCAGCCTTTTGAGTGCCTAATCTTGTTGTGGTTTCATGTAAGTAACATTTTCGACGGAAATCAGTAACGCCTGTGAAGGATTGGTACGGAATACATCGCTGTACATCGGAAGAACGTGAGAGTCTCAGAGGATCAATCTGCGAACTGCGATGCATAAAATATGCATTAAATCCTGGGGACAATCACAATCGACACCTGGACTCAATCGCACAAACATTTCTGACACCGTCTCGGAAATCGGAAATTTTTCCAGCAACCCAGTTTTGTTTACCCATCCGCCAGTCTTACAACGTCGTGGAAACGTCGGTGAGGTCCGAGTTCGAGGACTGAATTTAGACTTGAACCATGGCTTCTTACCCGGTCTTGAAGAGCCACAGGATGCTCGGAAGAACAGACATTTGAATATTTTGTTGAACTGGCTGCGTGAGCATCCTGATGATTTCCATAACGCTGCGTAAGTAATATATTATACTGACCTGCACACAGTCTGGCGGGTTTTTATTTAAGTAAGCAAAATGGCATGGTAAATATTTGGCATATCGCATGCATCTACCCTTAGGTGTGTGCACTGTGCAGATTGCAACTGTTGCATTTGCGTGCTTTTGCATAGTTTTTACTTTTTCCCAATCAAAATGTTCTTGAGTTCTGAACCGAAAGATTTGTATACGGGTCTGAAATGCATTATCCGCGCCACGTGGAGGCATGCAGTGATGCATGACTGCAACGTACTGTAGGCGATAAAAAACATAAAGAAAAAAAAACATAAAAGCTGGTGTGACTGTATGAGTGATATATGGACGATTTCGTACCACTCCAAAAATTTGATGCATCATTTTTCGATACGCGTTCCCATTATTCTCGCGTATTCAACCGTTATTTGTTCGTCCTTGTATTCCGCCGGTAATCTGACGAAGAAAACATGGAAGAACACGGAAGAATATTGTACAAGCAGAACACGCAAGAATAGCAGTGGAATACGGGGTATACAGGGTCCATTGCAGAGAGACAATTATAACTAATGATTACGGCGCGGATAAAACGGAATACAGGGAGAACACGAACGAATGCCGGTGAAATACGTGGAAATATTAGGAAAACGTAGCGGAAAATGATGGGTTGAATTTTGGAAGGGTACGAAACGAGCCATAGGTGGATATAGGCGATATGAGTGCGCAACAGCAGACGTTGTATCCAACAAACCTGAATGTAAACGCTTACCGGGTCAATTCTCTCAAGACTTTAATCAGAGCGTTTAGGTTAGTTTACGGGTACAGTACAGGTAAACTTTTCGTATATCGTTTTCAATTGCAGGCCGGAAATAATTTGTTGGAGCTCCACCCTGAAGGAGGTTATGCTCACAGCGGTACATGTGAAAGCCCCAAAAGGTCAGATGAATAGCCAAGATCTGCTCTATGTACTGCAGACCCGAGTGCTGAAAAAATCGAGTGATGATAGGTGAGACGCCGTTCTGTAATCCTGTGTTAATTCAGTTACGGGATGCAGTTCTAATCACCTGAAACGAGTGATGGACGTGATGCCGTCCATGTATTAATTACTAATCCAACCCGCGTTTATAAACACAACCCGAAATAAAATCTTCACTAGCATTGAGGGTCGTTTAATTTTGACACACATCTTGCTTGAACCAAGAATTACTTACGTAATAAATTCTACAGACTATCAAAGACAGAAGTCTGAGCGCCCTTCTGTTAAGCGGAGCTGCCGAGGCTACGTGACCGTGTTATGTGCCTTCTTCCAAGCTTTGTCGAAGGTCGAAGCTGCTGCTAGGTGCTATCTTATTTTGCTTCTCAGGTCTCAGCTGGATAATTTTAATATGTATGTACTACCCGTACGGTCGTTCGGTTACCACCTATAGTAAGTGAATGGGCGATGGTCGTTCAAAGTGACCACCGTGAACTACAATTCCACGAACCGTTTTTCTTCCGGTTTTCTTCTTTACCGAATTCGGCATAAGGTACTCTATTCATAGTACTTGAAATTTTACAAATATCTTGAACCGTTTTTTTGCAATTGCGTCGTTAAAAAAACAGTGACGAAACACTTAAGCCACGCCACGCCACTCGAGCCACTGCACTACACAATGATTGCAGATTACTGCAGCCATGTGCGGCTTATTATTACCGGGAACGTACAGGTTACTAGGGCTTGACTCGAAAGGCACTTTAAATGCGTTCTGTTAGATACAGAGCCGGAAGTTCTGTAAAAGTGAATTTACCAATCCTGCACCACTGAATCTTACAGAGCGTTACAGAGCATCGAGACTAACTCAAAATGTGTGCCCGTATAGTTAATTCGAATTAATTTTAAATTTATCTTTCACCATGTGTCGGTGATTTCAGATAGTCACACTTTGTTTTGCTTTTCGACACTTCTTTTTTGACACGTAGTTTCCATTTCCTATTTGAAGATTTTTAACAAATCTGCGCATTCTTTCTTCCAACCAAAGCGGGGTCTTTGTTTTCGCTCGGGTTTCTCCTGGGTGCCATCACTTTCTGTCGCATTATTGATGATAACCATTACTGCTTTTGCTCTGATAACTGGACGCGTGCTCATTCTACACTAATCTACAGTAATAGCGTATCTCAAAACATATTAACTCAAAACCCAAGGTAAACTAAACTCAATTTAAATCAAAATTCAAAGGTAAACTCAAAACTCAATTTTCTACGTACAGTTGGCACATGAAAAAATTCACAACGAATTCTTTTGACAAATTATTATTTTGACTTGTGGTGAAAAGCGAGTTCTTTATCGTAACGGAGCAGGAGAGTTCCTTTAGATACAGAACATTTTAACTCGGCCGTCCAATCAGCGGTAGGTGATCGAAAAATTACAGAACTTCCTGCTCTGTATCTTACAGAACGCATTTAAAGTGCCTTTCAGTCTAGCTACTGTAATTTACTTATGCATGATTTTACTTACATTTTCAGCCGCTGGCATTGGGTGGATCATTGCGGTTTGCAAGATCGACAGAGTGCTGTACATGGCACTAGACGGCTACACATATCCGGAACAATACCATGAGCGGCTGCTGTCGAGGAGGAATTGGCTGCTTTGGAGTTCAAAGAGGAGTTAATGACGTACCGGTACATACATACATTCGTATAATTTTATAATTTTATGACCTTAAGAGTATTGTCTGGCATAGCACCAAATAGGTGTAACAAGCATGCACGGAACTTTCGCTTTCCTTCACTCGGAAACACTCTTTCACTCTTTTGCATTGACCATTTTATATGAAATTCTCTAATCTCTAGCCAAATAATTTGCATACATGGGCAAGCGCGACGTTTGCACGCGCGATGTCCGTTGGGTAGGTATATAGCTGCAGTAAGATTCCAAAAGGCTTAAGCGCAAACAAACGTACCAAAGGCTCTGTACTGATAGAAATACCGGCGTCAATTAAACATCTGAAAAAAAGAAGCATCAACATACAAGGAAACTGACCACCGAATTAAAGAGAAAATTTGATCTAAACTAGCCGAGGCTGGTGTTATTCTCAGGATGGATGCCGCGTTTCCACGTTGAATTTCGATGTTGAGCCTGTGGCGCAGGTACGTACTCCATTGCACGTATCTCACCTGCTTCCTGCTATGTCATCTTGCCCACTTTGCTGGTCAGCCGGGAGGCTCCCGGTCCGAATGATCGCATAGTCTCCACACCCACAGCACGGAACAGGTAGTCCTGGGTGATCGTCAATACTTCGCGGTTTTTTTCCGTTCGGCCTGCGCCGCTGCTTTCAGCTTGGGTGGAGGTTGCTACGATAATTATGTGAAAGGGCCATCCGTACACACCCATGTCACATCCCATGCATTTTAACATTTTGCACCGCTTCCACGGCACTAGAGTGACTCAGTCAGGTCGTTTGCCGTTTGGTTCGTGATATTCCCAAAGGCTTGCATTCTGTCTCAATGGTGGCTGAGGCGAAACCTCGTTTAAGCGTGACGTTTAAACTGTTATGTCTGGACTTCCGGCCCCGATTTTTCTTACAGCTCATATGCGCTTAAGCCGAGCGTCCACCATTAATTGCAAATGCATCAGTGCGGAGTAACGATCGGTGTTTCCTAGCGTAAGCCAAAAGCAATCCTTAATGCTCTGGTAAAACCGGTCTTCCTTAAATTCTGCTAGAAAACGGGCAAAAATATGAAGACTGTTTTGAGACGAAACCAGGTTCCGACCAGCGTTTGCAAAATTGCAATTGCATTTCAAACGACTAGGGAGTAGGGACTCTTTTTCTTTGGGAGCAACCCAATTGCATGTTGCACACACGAACGGCTTTAATGTAATTCGTATAAAAAAATTTGGCTATTTAGTGCGGCGCAAAATGCAAAACAGCGATTTTTAGTGCACGAAGATAAAAGTTTCCTGGCGTGTACAGGTGTTATTAATTTTGGTTCCATTCCATGTTCCCGGTTTCATGTCACTTCCTTACGAGTTACGACGTCTTCCCATTATGACTTTGGGTGCAGTTGTTAGCTCTGCAAACTTTACTTGCTTACTAGGTGCATTAGTAAATTTTGGATTTTTAATTAGCGGGAGGAAGTTTGAACAGTACATGACACATCCAGTGGAGATGGAGACAACCCTGGACAGTCCACTGGAAAATAGGCGCCACTTCTGCTCATTTCTGGCGCGCCGCATAAACGGCATCAACGTGATATTTGGAGCAGAAATAGACTGTCAGGATCCGAATGCTTCTGGTACGCCTGCGCCCGGAAAATACGTTGAAATAAAGACGACAAAGCTACGGAACTCAAGCAGAAAATGGAAATACAAGTAACTGTCGTGGCCTTGCAATGGTAATATTGTATTACTGTATTACTGATGGCTCGCCTTCTGCCGGTATTTGCAGCCAGTACAAGTTGTCCCGATACTGGGCCCAGGCATGTATTGCTGGAGTGAGCAAGGTTATCATTGGTCTTTGGAATCCAAAGGGACATGCGTGAAAATAGACGAGTTTGACACTGCGGAGATTCCCGATAAGGCCAAAACCAACCCGGTGAGATGTGCTCAGACTGCGATTATTGGACACATTTTGTATAGATCCATTATACTACGTTTACGTGCATGGATTACCGTACAGACATAATACACGCCGCGTGCACTACGACCAACCTGACGGTCCTGACCGCAGTCAGCAGAGGAGAAACTCTGGAGATTGGTTTTGCCTGTGGCCTACTTCCGTAGGAAACAGTCTCGCTACACATGATCTCACTACCACACAACAGGAATTAATAGCAATACGTAACTCCGCCTAGGTATACAGTACACACTACTGCTTTTCCTAAACGAAGGTCAATCACTGCACAAACACCAACAGGATTAAGTTGATGTTACTCATTTTAATCACACTGACGCTCACTCAAACCAAGTCACACCCAAACTGCCGAAGTCTATCCGAGTAACCGACGACGAAGCGCAACTTCTGATCGGAGGCTACCGATAAGAACACGGACAGCATACGTCATCTCTGGTACAACAGGGAATACACGTACAAACAAACACTAACTCGTACAACATAATCCCAAATATGTCAGCTTACTTTACAAACCAAGCCTCCTGTATGCCGTTTGATTCATGAAATGCTGAGTACATCCAACTAAATGGATCGGGCTGTTAGGAAAAACAACAAGCAAAGCAGTCATGGCCAAGCTTGTAGTAAAGTAAAACAATCGCAAAGTACGGCTGTGTTTTTTTTAGCATTTGTTCGTAAACTTTCATAGTCAATCAAGTCTCATTAAAATGTTCTTTATAATCGTTTTGCAGAAAACCATGGCAACGTGGAGTGCAGAGGGATGCATAGACTTCCTGGAGCGGTTTCTGAAACGTGTAAAAGAGATCGTAATAGAGGACCATACACAGTGAGCCCATAACTACCGGTATCTGCGTTGCACCTATAATTTAATTATTGTTATGTTGTGCGTACAATTTCACTGCAGAGGAATTTACAAGTTTCAATGGAGTGCGGATAAGAAGGACGAGATCACAGTAGACTTCCATCCCGGTCCCTACCATGATTTTATCCAGAATGTCCTTCGTTCGCTGCGACGACCACAATGATCCAACAGCAAAGCGGGAACAGGAAGGAAAACATACTTCTGTATCAATAATTGGTAATTTAATAGTTGATTTATATGCCTAATAAATTTTTTGCAGACGCTGGTTATAGTACCTACACTAAAACGCATCTTCGAGTTGCAGTGCTCGTTCATGTTATTTGAGAATTAAGATGACTACAAAGTGTGCAGTTTACGGTAGAGGCGTTAAATATACTGTAGGATCCGCTTTCATTTAACCTTTTCAAATATAATTAAGCATACTAAATCATGCGTCAATCGCGAAATATGTTCACCACTAGGAACGCGTCTTATACATTCGATGGATTCGCACTCAACGTTCCCTGAAATTTGCTTACTCTTCAGCCGAGTTCAGACGACTCACAATAGTTTTGTGTTGACTACGTTCTAATACAAACTAAGCCGGTATACATTCTCATAATAATATTAGCTGCAAAGGTCAGACGACTCACAATAGTTTTGTGTTGACTACAAAAATTTAATACAAACTAAGCCGGTATACATTCTCATAATAATATTAGCTGCAGGTTGCGGAGTCACCAGTACACAAAAATATGAGTATATAAGAATGTAGCATTTCTCAGTACGAATACATGTTTTCCTATAATTTCGGAGCAGGCAGGGTTCTATGAAACACTGTTTTTCGCTAATCACTTCCGACAACTGCCGTGTGATTGTATCGACGGGAACGCATAATCAAGATACTGCCACAGTAAGTGTACCGTACATGTACTTAAATGTGTTTTTTCGTGCCGGCTGCCAGAGGCTAACGCATAACCGGCGTAATACTTTTTGATGCACTCTTAAAGCGGCGTGGCTCCTGACAACAAATTGTACGAATGCATACACTGCATCTGCAAGGCAGCTATGGTTGATGGTGCGGGTTATAGTATAATTATGTTGTTGTAGCGTATGTATTTTAAAGCAGAAAAATCGTCATGAACTTTCATCAACTCCTCGCTTTTGTCCTTATAGCTCTCACGAGTAGCGCCTTCATCAAGCACGGTAAGTTCATGTTTGTAATTGTCAGCTATTAAGATGGATACGCACATCTTCATATGCTACAGCTTTTCAGCAGTCAGTACAGACAAAACCACCCAATCACGGGACGCAAATGCCACACTGGAGACGGAATGCCCTGTCTTCCCCACCAACAGGGCTCCAGCCATGTTTTCCACCTCAGCAATTCCGGCATTTCGCAGTGATCCTCTTCCTCCGTGGAAATGCCCCGATATCCCCGGCTGCTCGATCCACTGCTCCTATATCCACGGCTTCTTTGTGCTGGAAAAGGGAGACAGCACCTACCTGAACGTGCAGTGTTTCGGCAACCGTTCCACAACAATTCCCGTATTCACCCAGCTCCTCCGCAACCACAGTGACCGCGCCTTGACGGTCATGTTAGCCGATCTCAGCCACCGCATGGACGCTCTGCACCCGGATGTCCTGCAGCCCATCAAGCGCAACCTAATCGACCTGGAGATCAACTATTGCGGTGTCTCCGCCACCAGGCGTTTGTACGACGCCGGGGTGTTATCCAATCTGATCAGCTTGAAATTCGCCGTGGGGCTGGATCTGCGTATCGGGGAACGGGACTTCTCCCGGCTCCCGCAGATCCGCCGGATCGTTTTCTCGGAATTGACCATTGCGTCCATAGAACCCTACACCTTCACCAATCTGCCGCACCTTCGTACACTGAATCTGGAGGAAGATCTGGATCACGTGGAATACGAAATAGAAAGGGAGGAGTTCGCGAAGGACAAGTACGGGACGCTTCCGCAACGAGGGAAGTTAATGCAGCAGGTGTATGAACGGCGCTGCAACTGCTCGTACGCGTGGTTGCGGAACTTGTTCAGACGGAAACCGGATCTGTGGGTGTGCGCCGAGAAGGAGAGATCGCTGTCATTGGCAACTATCTTACTCTGCTCTCCGCTGGCAGCGTTTTAGTGGTGGACTGCGCAGTGAGAAATTTCACAACTCTGGAGGAAATACGCACTGGTTGGACAGGGTTGTCCGTACCGCCCGGCGTGTTCTCTGTAAACACTTCCTGTTGGAACGTAACCTGTTGAATCACAGAACTTGATGTCATTTATACCGGGTGTTTTCCGAAACTTTGATTATTCTCTGCGGTGCCTTTGCCTAAATTAACCATTTAATTTAATACTGTCCTGGGTTGCCCAGCTGCGTGAGATAATTTTAGGAAATAAGTATTTGTTATGCACCCACCGCTATATCAAACTGCATACACCTGTTTGAAGTCAACAAATTCTCCAAGAAAAAAACAGTTGCAACTTGGCTGATATAAAACAAATAAACAAAACTTTTAAGTATGCATGCTGCTTGTAAGCCTTCTATCGCCTGTTCCGACTGAAAGTAATGTGAGCTTGACCTTTGCTTTGGCTCGATTAGTAAATGTACTTACCGGACTCTTATGCAGCTGAGAATAACTTTCTGACAAATTTACGGAGTGCGAATATAGAAATATTGCAGTACAGTGGATACCTCTACCGATATCTTATCGTTCGTTTTAGATATGAAAACTGCTAAGAGATTGCTACGCTTTACCGACAGCTAACATTTTGGCAAATTGACGGCAGAAATGCGATGAAAATTATATTAGTTTTACGTTACCCTCATGATAATTTCCTTTATTTAATATGTAGTTTTAGACGCTTGTTTTGTTCCGGTTATCTTGTAACAACCTAATGCGAGATCATCCCGCTACGGGTTTTTCTGTGAGGAGTTCGAAAAGATGTACCCTCTCACAAACACACTGACCACAGTCGCGGCGTCCATGTCCGGCACCTAAACAGCGCCGAAATAACCAAATTATTGTAGCAGAATTACGGATGAAGTATTAGTATTACGGATTTCAGTTCCACCCTGTTGGAAACACAAATATTTGTTCTTCATTACTTGTATAAGAGGAAGAAAGAGCCCTGGTCAAGACCCCAAAGAGACATATTATAATCTCTTCGGGGTCTTACCCGGCAAAACGAAAAGTTCTGCTGCTTGAGCATTGCAAATAACAATGCCTATTCCAGCCCTTGAACGAGCCGAATTGTATTTATGTCTGTTGGCGAAAAATGTAAGGTCTCCAGTATACGAGTAGCCAAGGTTGGAAACTTGGAATTACGAGAATCGAGAAACACCGGTTGCTAGATACAGTTGTTTAACTGCCAGTTTAGATTGTTTCACACAGTTATAAGAGAGAAGAAACCAATACTTCTAGCAAAACAAGAGTCAGAGTAGTAGCTGCTAGCTGCTTATATCGGCGGTCGTTCTACAATCATGGCATATAACCAATTGGTTAACACTACTTAGCCAACTGCTGCTTATTTAACTGTTAACATTACTTAACCAATCATTGATTATTTATTGCTAGTAGTCCAAGTTTCTCCCGCAGCACAATCCATGAGCATCCACTCGGAGTGGTACAGGAATGGTGAGCAGACACATACAAATTCACATGAATAACGTCCAAGACCACTACGTTTCCGGCGTTCCGCAACACGCTGGCTGCCCGATCGTGCGTGGCTTCCTTCAAACTCTGTCCGTTCACCGGCATAATGAGATCGCCAGGCTGTAGTCGTCCTGCAAATCAACCGACCATACTAAAGCCTATTTAAACTTAGCCATTTTTAAGCTTCTGAATTTTTTATGCAGGATTCGCCGTTGGTATTAGGCTATTAGCGCATGTGCACAAAGTAGAGCCATAGAGCAGTGCTGCCGTCTGCTGACCCGCCATTTCGTCGACCGTCATTTGGTTGAACAGACACGATAATATGGAACCGTCACGACGTCGAGTCAGTGTTTAGCAAAACCGTCTTAAGCCTTGTCCCGAATTCGAAGCGAATCTTGTTGCGATACAGCAACTCCACCTCGCGAGGTGGCTTCCCGGTTCTACGGCAAGCAATTTTTTGACTTGCTTTAGACATCGTCGAGCACAACACGCCGTCTTTCGAGCGGCATGTTTCAGTATACTTATGGAGCCCGTTTTCATATACATTTTACGTCTAAAATACATGGTCTCTGGGACTATATGGCCTTTTGAAATTCAAAAAACACCCATCCTGAAAACATCTTTAAATGAAGAAACAATGGGCGCTTTTTTCTCGAATAGAACGGGTTCGCGTACCGTATCTGTAGGCGTGGCCACTGCATACAGCCACCTCGTGCGGTTGAGCAACCGTACCATAACGAGATTCACTTTGAATTCGGGACGAGGCCTTAGGTTTTTTTCGGTCTTTTCATGTTTCTTATATTTTCTTATGTTTTCTTTTATTGTTCTAAAGTTTTCTTACCTTGTTTTATTCTTTTTTTATTGTTCTAAAGTTTCGCTTAGTATCTGTAGTCGCCCTAGTACCTTCGACAATGTGTCGGTTGACGAAGTGTTAGTCGACGAAATTTGGGTGAGCCCTGCCGTCTTCATATCGGCTGGCATATCCGGGCTGCTCCGCAATGCACAAGTTTACAACCGCTTATTTACCGTCATCATAGGCTCTTCCTCCGACTTCGATCGTTTTCACAAAGATGGGCTTATCTCCAGCCCACTTTCCATTCCCACCAACCTAAACACAGCATTATTTTCGATTTTTCAAGTCAGTACCTCGTGGCAGTTTGATGGTGAACCCTTCTCGTACGACGCTGGAGCCTTCCCGGTTACGCAACGAACGTGGCAGTCAGTTTTATAACCAACCCGGTTTTCTGTCAATAGTTCGTTGCGCGGTTACAACTCGGTTTGCGGGGATTGACAATAGTCCGCCGTCATACAAAAGGGGTGCAGTATCAAATTTGCCTGAGGCCGTTAGAATTCAGTCAGCACTGCTTCATACAGTCTGCAATTCAATTCGGAACTGCAGCCCTTACACGGAACACTTACAGATACTATCGAGAATCCTAGTTGACCGTCCTCGCCACGTCGCAAAACAACCGTTACGATATCCGGCAGTATGCAATAATTGCCACCATATGTCGACGGAATTTGCCTTGGCTGGGCCGAAAACAGTGGGGTTTCCGGCTGTGCAGTGGCGTGTTTGGTTAGGGAAAGGTCCAACAATTCGGTTGGCAGTAACAGCTCACCCTGTAATAGCACAATAACGACATTCCCACTCTATTTTCGTCAAAGACGTCGCAACATGACGTGGCTAATTGCTCAACCTCACCGCAACGGGTCCATCCTGCAGTTCCTGCTCGCTCATCAACGGGAATCGCACAAGGAACAACAGTTCGCCTAGCATAAGCCGCCGGTTGGCAGCAGTCGGCTCCGCGTTATTGCGGATGCAGGCTGCTTCAGCCCATCTATAAATTATTTGTTGCTTATTATTCTCAGTTTAAACTCAATCGGATATGTTTTTCCGTCCCATCCCAATGCTTAAATGCCGAACTATCAACTAGGTGATTCGGTGTTATATAAAAAAAATCGTGCCATATTGGGAACCTTTTACCGGAAAACTTACCGCATTTTACCAATCAGTGTCCCTGGGTTTGAATTTTTGTAAGAACTCCAGGAGAGGACTTTATTTCGGTGTAAACCAATTTTCAAAAGCGGCTTTTCTCAAAATATGGTCAAGAGGGGGCTGTATTACAAGAGGTACTCAATTAGGGGGACACTGATTGATAGCATACGGTAATTCAGTTTTACCAAGGAAGTACTAGTAAATTACTTCCGCTTAATGAACACATAATGCCCGCGGACGATCAAGCTTTTCGACAAACACGTTGCTAAAACTTGATCTGTGACAAACTTGCAACACATACGCTGCGACTGCCTCGTAAATGCTGTTCTCCTTGCCTGCAATGTGCAGCGCGGCAGAATCAGCTCCAGTGTTCGCTTGTCCAGTGTCTTGAAATATTCGGAGTAAAACAGTTTCGGCATGAACATCTATCACTTTTAAGCAGGGTTCCACGAAGACTGCAGCTTGCCATTCAACTGCCTAAAATGAAATGTCATAAGACACCGGGTTCATCAAGGAGCCGTATACTGTTTATCTACGGAGCGATGAAGACAAAGACTCGTACCAAGCCCAAATGCATTAAGCAGGTGCGCGCTTCAAGAGCGCAGATGGCAAACTGAAAGCAGGCATCGACGAGCCCTGGCACATCGTATCTGTCGGCGCAGTACAGCGTAGGGAAGACCGTCTCGCGGTTGAGATCAACGCGGTAGGTATACAGATAGCTGGAAAAATCGAACTTAGACGTGAAAATTATCGATCAGAGGTTGTGGTAACTGGAAATGAGAAAAATAAATATAAATTCACCTTAGCATATTGGCAAATGCTTCGGGATGAACATCAGGAACCTCAATCGGTCAGAAGAAACAGTATATTGTATAAACATAAAATGGCGTCGGTTACGTCATAAACTGGAGTTGGGAGCTGCACTTTCCAACTGCAATTCCCGGTTGGACTTTATGACTACAGCTCCCAACTCCAGAATATGAGTCATCACAATTGTAGTGTATGTCCATAGTGCATACTATAATACTATATATATATATATATATGTAGTTAAAATTTAATACAATAGTTAACTAATTACAGTCTTTCGGGAGGAAGTAAGTATTAAAGGCACCACGGAACGCATAAAATCTAGAAAAAAAAACAAGTGACTTTTGTTACAATGGCGCGCATTGTGTGTAAAAAAACTTTTGCGAAGCCGTGGTGGGGACTTGCATTATTGTTATGTTAATTCTTATAATACTGCTGGAAGCATTTTTCGGAGCAAGCCACAGTGTCAGGACCTTTATTAACAATTGCACCGCACTGGAAGTTGATGATTTACTCAATCGAAACATCACCCCATGGGCGAGTGTTAAAATCAGAGTCAACAATTCTACGTTTTGAGTAAGTAAGTTTAAATCGTTTGTTAATTTCCGCCGACGAAACTTCCAGCTTGCGCTTATTGCGTGTTATGTTGAACGGATAATTCACGGTAATTCCGCTTGGCTGGTCCGGTGGTGCCAGGCTTTCCAGTAGCATCTCTTTCAGGCTTTCCAGGTTTAGCTGTTTTTCGCTTGCCGTGTCAACGTAAATCCCTTGACTTTTATCGTTTCACATCCAGTATTTGTCCGGTAAGCATAGCTTTTGGTCCTGGGACAACAAAGAATTAACATTTTAAGTTGCTCGCATATTATTATCTAGATAATTATTCTTTTACCAAGCGCTACAAATTCGTCAATGTACTCGTCAGGCTGTAAAGACGAGGACAAATCACCCAAGCACGTTCCCGTTGGTGGATCGGGCAAATCGTCTCTATGGATGTAGAAAATGCTGTCTGCAAAATAAAGAAGTGGATGAGCAATTTGCCGATAATACTGTTTCGCGCGTTCACCTGTATCGTGGTATAACAAACGGTCTCCAACCATTTCCATGAATTTTAATAAGTGTAGCCGTGCGTACGCAGTCGTAAAAGCTGCGATAACAACATTGGTCTTTTTGCTCGTCGCAATGTAGTCCTTCTTGGAGCGGTATTGAACTGCCATAACTTCATCGGTGACCAAATCGAACCCGGCGACTTCGTACTTGTTAGAAAACAAGTAATCATGGAATACCTCTTTCTTTTCCACCATATCCGTGTTGGATCGGTCTTCCTGTTGACCAAATTTTCCCTGCAATGAGCGTAAAAATAATGAACATGCACAAATTAAATAAGTTCACATGTGTACCAAAACTATTTAGCATAAGCTTGCAAAGAGCTCTCAATGCGTCGTTTTTCGCAATATTCTTTTTATCCAGTAGAATATTTTCTTTAGCAAGGAATTCTTGAATATATCTGTCTTTTTCATCTTCCGTTTGACACTGTGGTGGATATCCAGAAGCTTCCGTTTTCAGCTTCAAAAACAGGTCAATGTATTCTCTGAATAAATACTGCATTTGTTCTGGATAGTGCCAAGCCGAGTATATTTTATCGATACGATAGCCAACTTCTAATGCTCGATGAATTTCTGGAGTGCACCAAGTTCCTTCCAGAGCCCTGTCCTCATCATCGTGAGAACATGGTTCGTTTACGCGTTCCGTCACGCATTTAGCGCATAAAGGAAAAGTCAGTTTATCAGTTTTGTAAGGTAGCACCGGTAAAAACAACGACGGTGGAGGAATGACGCGACATTTAATTATTCCAAAATACTCTCCACAGGCGGAAAATCTTTAGTAATGATAACAGGCGGTCCCACCGGATAAGGTAGATTTTGTTAATATAAGGGTATTCGCTGATAACGTCGAGCGAATAGATTTTTTCTCCAGGATCGCACTTGTGGTACAACTTGATAGCGTTTGTCCTGCCACCAGTAAATGCGTCTCGGGGTGCATAGGTTCTTCAATACCGGTCGACTGAATTATTTTCTGAAATTCCAGGTCAGTAGTGAGCCGGCTATCATAGTCGTGTTCCCAGATCGAAACTACGGAATAGCCCATAGTTTTGATAGCTTCAAGGCGTAAGGCAGTTGCTTTGTTGACTTCCTCCATTGGCCGTTTCAGAAAGGGATGCAGCGTGCTTTTTTGTTGTGCATTCGCTGCAGCCGTGCCACATACATCCTGCACAAAACATTGAAGGTGAATTGCGTTTTGAATGTGATCGATAACATTTATATCGAGCTGACTAACCTAAAACTCGTAAGCGGTTTTTGTATCCCGATCAAAACCATCCACAGTCCAGTGACCGATTCGATGCTCTTTTTTGCAATTTTACATCATTTTCCATTTCAATCCAGCGTAGCCAACGCTCTCCTTTGACAGATGACTTTTTGCCCTGACCAGGAGGGCCGATCAACGCAATTTGGTTTTCCTTCAGCATTCGCGCTCTCCAAAAGTAATTGCACATGCCGGGTGTGGTTAGTCCAGACGCAAATGGGCATAATCCATCGGTTACCTGTTGGAAAAGCGCTCGAAATTTTTCGCACGCTTGTTGCAAAATGAGGACATCTTGTGAGCAATACCTAAAACGAATCGGATAAGTTCGATTCTGTAAATAGCATAAGGGTTTAGCTTACTTGATAAAGTGTGCATTAAAGTCGAATTTGTTCCTGTGACGGCGTCGCTCTTTGCGGTACCATTTCATGAAGCGCTTTCGTTCTTTCTTTTCATAGACTGATAGCCATAGTCATGACGATCGGGCCAAGCAGTTATTTTATTCCAGTTTTCAGGCTTATTAAGTTTGTGTGGAAAATCTCTTTTGGTTTCTTGCAAACCAAATGCTTTCGCAAAATTTTTTAACGATGATGGTACATAGTTCATAGAGTCACGAAATTTTATTTTGAGTTTGGGCACGTCCATCTGCATAACCTTGCTCCCGTTGAAAATAAGCGGACGTGGAATAACGCCGTTTTTCACGAGATAATTCAAAATGAAGTATCCATCAAATCCTGAAAAATAAATTATCAATTTATTTAATAAAGAAGTTACTTAACGTGTTGACTTTCGCTACCTTCAAATTGTGCGCCATAAATGTGTAGCCACGGAAACGCTCACTGAAAATGAAATCGCCAAGTTCTTGTGAAATGTCGCCGTTAATATTACCGTTTTCTGGAAGAATAAATTTTTCATTTTTTGTCGCGATCACCGCTAGGTTGACTTTAAATTCTCCACTCTCGTCTTGATATGTTTCCAGGTCAAAGTATGCCAGCTTGTCGTTATGGTGCTTGGCCTTTTCTTTATCCGTAAATTCCACGGGTTTCATATAACACACATGGTTTTCCTCCGGCATATAGAATAACGAGCAAGTCGCACAAAAAACCTCACCACATCGATGTTGCTGATCGTCAACATCTAGTTCGATTTCCTCAGCAATATCGTGGTCCTGGTCATTGTCCTCACCATGAATTGTATCGTAATTGGTCTTCATACGGCGATTTACCATAGAGACAAAGGTTTTACACTCACGGCAAATGAAAAAATTTGCGCAGATGGTGCTGCTCCCAGCTTGGTGTCTGTCAAAACAATCTTGCCCATAGAAATCGCGGTTACAGTCCAGACAGTGTATGGTTTCTTGCTTATTCATTTTGCAAGTTGCAGACAAACACTGGTGGCATGAACTCGCAGCGGTGATACTGTCTTTGATCGTAGCCTTTCATGCAACGGTAACAGTAATAGTGGTGCTCAAAATAGGCCGGTAAAGATGTTAAAACATCAAAATGTTGATCGTGATGCAGCAGCATAATTCGCTTTTCGCAGTAGGCGCCGCAGTAGACGATAAATTTCCATGATCCACAGATACCACAATAAACTGATAATTCGGTAAAACTTCTTCAAAGCGGGGAATATCTTGCACGTTGAATTCTCTGTTCGGCAGGTTGGCAGTCAACAATAATTCTTTTGTCTTCTGGTCTTGCAACTTTTTGGTTCGGTAAAGCTTTGTGTACAGCTCTTTGTCGCCATCTGCATGCGCTTGTGCCACAACTATAGCCCTGGCCATACACAAACAGTCCGTATTTCGAATCTGGGTAATACATCTTTTGTTGTCTAAAATCCGCTGCAACAATTTTGATACATTTTTTCTGCATGATCCGGATGGCAAATCAGTGTGCTGGACTGACAGTTCAAATGATTCGTCTAGCAGAAAAGCCTGATTAGAGTTTAGAATCCGCCTTATTGTCGTCATCCACCGTTCAATTGTTATTTGGTCCCGCCGAATAGGTGGCATCCAAATTGGATACTGCAGAGCATTTTGATACATGCGGATTCGCACCAGGTTATGCGCTGGAATCGCAGCAATCACACTCTCCAGAATATCTTTCAAAACGAGTGTTATCGTTTTAACAGCATACTTGAACGATAGATTATCCAGCCCCGTCACTGTACATTTGTAAGTTTCGAACGAAACTGAAAATTTCTGGGAATATTTTGCTCCGATATTTTCGAGCACATAATAATCTTTAATGTCATTCAAGTCTGGATCGACTTCGTCAGCTATATTCAAAGCTGGCAGATCAGCTCGTGGTACAGTATAATTATGATCAAGAAGAGCATAATCATGATTGAAAAGTGCGGTATCAGCAAACTGTGGGTTACTAGTACAGGCGTTAGAGTTGCCCTGTACACGATCAGGTACTTGCGTCATCGTAAAGACGAGCTCTGGCAACGTGATTTTACTAGTCTCAAAGATGCACCCAAGATACTCAGATTATATATGAATAAATTCCGCTACAGCATTTTTGTTATCATCTGAATTTCCAAACAGATCGCTCAATGATTCATGCGCTAAAAATGTCAGGCATGTTAATATCCGCGATCCTTTTTTGTTCAGTGCGGTCCTCACCGGAAATGAATACAGCTCCACAACGGATGCAGCACCTGTTACCCTGTTCATCTGCAATTTCGTAAACCTTGTCAGAAATGTTTTAAAAAAAGAACATCAAAATTTGAGCACGTACCCGAATAGTAATTTAGATCTGGTC